CCGAGGTTTCCCCTGGACAGCCACATCTGAGGAACTGCGCAGGATCCATTCGCCCTCATGCCTAGACTTGAGAAAGCTTACGCTGATCAATCGGAAAGGCCCATGAAACTGTAACATGGGTTTTAATCCCTTCTTGTACCGTGTCATCGTGTGTTCAAGGGCAGGATAGCTCCGACGCCTCATCCTCACTTCGCGGGGCACCAACCATGACACTTGCCAGTGATGTGAGTAGATGTTAATCGGAAATATCGAGAAGAGCACCAGCAATAACGTATAAGCTTTGGTACAAACCTCCGTCGCAATTCGGCGCGGCGAAATACTCCCGATTACAGCCCCAAGAAGCGTGACATAATGGCTTCGTACTACTCGACTACGTGATGAAGTCGTGTATCATTTCCAATGCAGCTAATGCCCGCTTCAGTCGTGCTAGAGGTTGGGAGACTCTTCTCCGGCTCGATGGAGGTGTGACCCGCAATCTCATCAGTGAAACCCGCCCGAACTGTGATCATTGGCAACTTGGATGCTGTGGTGTAACAGCCGCTCCCGCAAATTTCCACATTTTGACCCAGTGCTTGACGTCACTGAAGACACATTATACACGCCGCGATTGTGACGCTCGATTTACGCAATGCACATAATGATAACATCATATACGATGGTAGCCGTAGAAATCAAAAGACGAATAATATGTGTAATATCAGCATAGTTTAAATACATATGCTGTTATCAATACCTCATAATCAAGAGTCACCTTTGTCCCAGCTCTTGACTTCAAGCTCTCGAAATACTCTTTCCATACACATAACCAGAATCTTCCACACATATCTCAACTCGTCAACTTCATTCTTCAAAAAGGACGTTCCTTCTCCAACATGCCTCAATACCAGCCTCAAGCCGACACCTTTAGTATGTCAAATTTCTGCCATATCCTTCGTGGCCGGGGCCGAATACTGACGATGAACAGAGGACCCTTCCAGCAAGGCTGAGGCCAAGCAGCAGATGGCAGAGCAGCAATACGAGGAGAGGAAAGAGCACTCGAAGAGCGGTGCAAACACGCAGACGGGGCACCATGCAAAAATCGTCAAGGAACCTAAGCAAGACTGAAGTATGGTTGCTTGGGACATATTAGGACAGGTAAAAGCGACAGCATGCCTTCTGTTTGACCAATTATCTTCACTCGGTTCTTGTGCTTCGTATTGCTAGGATGTTACGAGGCATGGTTGTCATCATGTCTTATTCAAATCATTGATCAAGTACCATTGTAAAATTGCGATTCACGGATGTAGTCGAAAAGTGACTCTCTTCTAAATTCCTCTCATCTTCGAGCCTATCAAAGATACAGCTGTTATGAGCAATTGACATCGGATGGGCACCGCCCTCGGAAATTCTTACATCATTGCCTATAGCTTGAACTGAACCTTCGTGCGCCTGGAAGCGAGCTTAGTCCGAGGTCCTTCCTGTAACAGCTACAACAATCCTATGCAGCCTTGGCCTTTTCTACCTAGAACTGATATGGCTTGCAGGATTCATCAATGACTGCATCTTATACGTTGGAGACCAAGCTGTGGTTGTGCCAAGCATAATCCTGCAATCCTTCAAGCGCACCTTCCTGGATCAGACAAGCTTCGGGTACGACCAAGACTCAGGCTCAGATTGCAACATCTTATAAGTATCTATGCACTTGATGTTTTCACTTCATCATTCTTTCATCAACGAAGGTACTAGTCTTCAACCCAGTCCCCAGTATTTCACTCACCCTTACAAACCCTCCTGCGGAAATTTTGTTAGCCCAGCCTTGGCTTCCGCTTGCCGCCCTTTCTCCAGATTCTGTGCCCTACACAATCTTGTAAGTGTGGCTCCCAGGTCGTCGTCAACTTCCCCCCTCGTCTGTCGCTAACAGATGAGAAAGCTCAACGGTCAATATGGTGAAGATCAGCCTTGCTCTTCTCGTAGCTGTGGCATCAGCTGCTCTCGCCGCTCCTGAGGCTATCGGCGCTCGCCAAGCCGCGGGATGTCAGCCTTCCGAGACTGTTTGCCGTGATGGCTGGGCGTGGTGTTGCAGTGGCTCAACTTGCTACGAGTTCGCTCCTCCTACGGCCTGCTAGGCGAATGCGACTACTTGTTGAGATGAGATGGTAAAACCAGAGAGGATCAAGCTGATGGTATGGACTTGGATCTCATCTGAGAAAGTCATTAAGAATGGATAAATTGAGACTCCTGCTAAGATCATTTGAGATCGAATATGAACTTCTCGATTACAGCGGTGCACGGGATGCCATGAGTTCCGAATTCAACCATACGCAAGAGCGAGCAGGATAGCCCATCAGTCTTCTTCATAACACAACATCTCATTTCCATAGATTATACAAGCTTACGTCTCAAAAGTACACATGACAGACGCCAAAAAGCGTGTAAATAATGACGTGATACAAAGACTCATAGGTCGACCAACCAAATTTCCAAGAATTCCTTTTCATACCTTACATTTACAACTCACGCAACGGGCTTCTGAGCCATGAAGACGTTCGCTGGGAAAATGCCGCCCTGCTCAGTCATCTCCTTTGTGTATCTCTCCTCCAGGCTGGTATAGATTACCGGATCCATATCAGGAACCAACACTACATTTGGTTAGTGAGGGTCGGCTTACGGCAAAGACAGCTTGCTTCTAGTCAACTCACTTTGGGCGTTCCTGGCGACAAGCGGAATGGTGTGCATGAAGGGCTCGATGGAAGATTTGACGGCGGCCTCGTCGCCATGCACTTTACCAATCCCACACTCCACTCGCTCGACCTTGACGTTTTGGAGACCGGCTATCTTCATTGCCTCTGGAATTTTGGACGCGTATTTACGATCCATTCCCTGCTTCTCAAACATGGTCCCAATGATGTGAATGAGATCCTTCAGTGACTGGGGTTGGTTCGGCTGGTCTGGACTGATGTCCAGCTCCATAATTTGCAACCAGCCTCCCGGGGCCAATGTATCTTGCATCAGTTAGACTAGAACGCGCGCAACCCATCAAACAGCGGCCCGAACCAACGAATTCAACAGCCGATGACTTACCGGCGAGGTTTGCGATGGCCTGCTCAATGCCGGACCGGTGGGCGCTGTGGAGAACATTGCGAACGTGGGTCAGATCGAACTGGCCCTTTAGATCCCCGGCCGGTGGATCGCAAACGTCGTGGGTTACGTAGCGGATGTTGCCCTGAGCTGACGTGGGCAGGAAAATGGTTGAAACATCGGCGCCGACCATGTGCGCGGATGGTGGAACCTGTTTCTGCAGGTCCCGTAGTAGTGTTCCTGTGATATCGCGTGTTAGAGGTCCCATTTCACAGTGCAGTCGAAGATTGAGATACCGTCGGCGCAGCCCATGTCGAGAATCCTGAGCCCGCCATTCGTGGTATCCACGGGCGCGAAAACGATCTTATCTTTGAGGCACATCTGGATCCAACGATGCTGGACTTGAAGGCGCGTCAGCTCGGCTTGGACATCGCCGACCATGGCTAGGTACTGGTTATTGGCTTGGTCATTCTGTCCGGTCTGGCTACTCATGTTGGAGTTCGTTCTGAACGTGTGTGTGTTACGATTCAATAGAGAATGGATTGGGATGCTTTGCACCCTGAAGGCATCAAGAGCTCCACGGAGAACAAGATGATTAAATGCAACCTCGCCGTCCCATCTTCAACCGATCACAAGCTCTCTAGTGTCTGCCCAACATACGTGATCGGCAAATTGAACAAGCTGGCAAGCTCTTCGTGTAGACTGGAGTCTAAAGGCTACTGGTATTCTAGAAGGCGTTTGTGAAGGTGGTATAAGATCTAGATTTCGTAGACTTCCGCATTTGGCTCATTCCGTGTTATGCATAATGTCTAGAAGACATTAGCATGAACTCGAGTCACTGGCTGACAGGTCGACTCAGTAACAACTGAACACCAAATCTCTACTGGCAGGTGGGGAAAATAGGGATATCATAAAGGCCGAACAGGCGAGCCTCGCGTATCTATCGCGTGACGATTGCGATTGCGATAGCGATGTTGAACGTGTCAAGTTACAGATATCACGAACACGATGAGATCCGATAATATCAGTAATACTCAGTCTCCAATGACGAGCGCGGCTGGACGAACTCGTGTGGTTCAGATGTGGCAGCTGATATGTAGATGCAGGGCGGATGACGGCGTCGATATGTTCTGGAACTTGACGTGAGGGAGGGTAGGGACGGAGTTGCGGGTTCTGGGTGCGGGCCATCGCTCAGGTTTGCTTTTCTGGGACAGGACAATTAAACATGTGTCTGCCAGATTGAGCCACGCATCAGACTACAACCAGTCGCAAGTTGTACAGAGGCAAAACGTGGAGAACTGCCGAGGTTTGTTTCTTCTGGTACGAATACGGAGCTGATGCCAGGTGGATAGATGGATGGATGATGGAAGTTCTGTATCCGTAATTGACTTCGGGAATAAAGGCCCGCCCGGCGTGCTCCCACTCGGGATCCCGTGGGCCGTCCGGTGTCTCCCGGCGAAGATCAGGAACGAGAACGACTGAAGATTCGGACATATCGATGTCATTCTTCGGGCGATCCGACTAAAGTAGTTTCTTCAAGGGCCTCTCATGCAACTTACCTCGATGCCGTGATTTTGGAGGGGGAAACAGATGGGTTACAACACTGTGTCGCATCGGCCGAGCCAAGCGGGCGATCCATGCTCCTGCGCCGTGCGTATCTGCGTATACTTGAAACAGTTAGGCCCAATCTTGAGTTAAATAAGCAAAGTCACGCCATCCCTGGGCAGGGTGCAAAGAGCCAAGGGTTACAACACCGTAGACTCCCGTGGGAGATAGGCACATCATTGATGATAGGAAGGGAGGCAGGGCCAAAGAGGCACAGCTGGAGGCCAAGCAAACATTTACTGTAGGGCTGTTTCCATGTCTCTTTTGCAAATCTCTCTGTGCATGGCGAGCTTCCTTAAGCGAGTCAGTCTAGCTGATCCCGCTCACACCTTCCTGCAATGACCGTCCGAAGATCCGAATCTCTCATGCTCATTGGCTCCACTTCAAGACAGTCAAGGTTTGATGATTGATTAAGACTGTCACAATCTTACAGAGTACAGACACAGAACACTCATACAGTCACGTCAATCCGTGGCTGTTGGTGTGCCGTGCCGTGCCGGGCCTTTTTAATAAGCCTCGGGGACCCCCTCATCCGGCCATCATCAAAGCGTTTCGAGTTCCTGTGTTCGTGTCCTTCAGTCCCTACGACATCGACGAGAGTGTTCGGTTGAGCTGTCCCGCCTCGCCTTCGAGTTGACCTCGACAAATATACACATTCCTTCCTTTTGAAAAGACCGCGAGAAGCGTCGCAATATCCCACAGACAAGATGAAGACATCCATCGCTTACATCATCGCCGCGGCCCTCTTCGGAGCTACGCAGGCTGCCATCACCCCGATGAACAACATCATTCGTCACGAGTACAACCTCAACGCCAGAGCCGGTGTTCACGGCAACATTGAGAGGGACGAGCCCGCTGTTGCCCCCGAAGGCGATGTTCTGCAGCCCATTGTCTAAAGAATTGGCGCTTCCATTTGCACGCACCCAAACACGCGCAATTAACGTCGCCCCGTCTTCAATTGTCGGATACGGGTCCGAGACGAGTCACTTTCTACCCCGCGGCTTTGGCCCCCAATCTTTGAGGGCCTTACACCACGATCGACTTTCAACTTCAAATCTACGCATGCTTTCAGACATGCGACCTAGGGTACAGCGATGAGGAGTTTAGGCGGAGACTGAATTAGGAAGTGGGCGTTTGAATAATTCTTTTTGACGGGTATGGAAAACATCTCGAGGACGAGAGCAAGACCAAGGGATCGGAAGGACTTTCGGTTGGCAAGGATATTCCAAGGCAAAGCGAGGAGCGCCGGCTTAACGGATTGAAGCCACGATGAATGCAAACTTTTCAAGCCAAACCCCTACTTCTCTGCGCGTGCACATTTTGATGATCCTTCGACTCCACGGGCTCGGTAATGAGGCAGTCGATCACCTGGTGAACTCCCACGTGTAGTTCCACACTTGATGCCCATCAACGATAAGCTCATAGTCTACCGTCCATCGGCCCTCCTCCGACGTGTCAAACGACACCCGACCAAACTTTGAATTTCCCCACGGGTGCGAATACACAGAGACGTCCGTGTCCTCAATCTGTCTATGGAACCGATCGAAGGGTTCATAGAACTGGTTTAAGGGCGAGGTGGAAAATTCAATCACAGACTTACCACCCTTGTCGCTAGTGGGCGGAAAGATCGTCGTCGCGTGCTCATGCCTGTCCTAGTCAAAAAGAAGCAAAAAATTAGCTCAAGCAAACTATTGAAATCTTTGGCAGGGTCGATCAAACAGAGACCAGCTTACTCCACTCAAGATGATAGCTCCGTCCGTTTGTCTCATCATCTCCAAGATCATGTCTCTCTCCCACAGATATCCCGACCAGCTATCGGCCGAATCGGGGCCCCTCCAATTTCGCGTGAACGGGACGCTGCTGACAACGACTTTCCACGACTTTTCTGTTTCAAGCCACTTTCGCAGGTCCGCTAGCTGCGCCGCGCCAAGCATCGTGTTCTCAGGCCCGTCCGCCATGTTTTCAGCCGATCGATAGCGCCGCGTGTCTAGGACGAAAAACGAAACGTCGCCCCGGCGGAAGGTGTAGTGCGTTTTGCCGACGCCATACTGCGAGGGAGGGTTCGCGTGCCCTTGATAAGACCAATATGGCTTCATGGCGGACTGATAGAGACCTGTCTCGTTCGCCGCCCAGTCGTTGATGATCTCATGGTCGTCGTAGACGTGCAGCCACGGCACAGATCGAAGCGCGGGTGACCAGCTGGGCGAGGCATAGACTTGACGGTATGCTGTGGTGTAGTGCTCTGGAGTCCAGCCGAGGGCCACTGGCAGGTCGATGTAGATGAAGTCGCCCAGGAAGAGCATCATGTCTGGCTGGTTCGCCGAGACATGCCGGTCCAAGTACTCCAGTCCTTTGATGCGCAAGCCATGATCCAAGGGGTTGTAAGGGTAGAAAGGCTTGATGCAGCTTGTGGAGATGAGACTCCATCGCTTTGGCGAGAGGGCTGCAGTCCTGAAAGATCCGGCATGGCTGGCATTCGTGGTGTAGGTGTACGGCGTGTCTGGCTCCAGCCCTTCAAGCAAAAACGTCCCGGTATGATCATTGGAATCAGCGATGACGATTGTCTGCGACTTGGTAACCTGGTCATCTCCCTCCGAAGGCGCCCAACTGATCTTGACGTAGTTTGTATGGAGAGCTGGCGCTCTTACAACGATCCGCGCCGTACCTTCATCCATGTAGCCCATCCGAGAGAAGGAGAGATCGTGACTCTGGTGGAGTACGCTTCCTCTGTAGATGAAGTCCCATACGGATCCAAGTGACAGGATATTCAACATGACTGTGACCAAGGATGTAACCGGCGATGACCGGTCAACCCAACCCAAGAGTAGAAGCAGCCATGGGTGGTGTTGCCTAGAGGCCCGCCGCGAATTGGGCAACAGGAGCCTAGCAACTAGAGAGACTGCATACAACGCGCAACTCCCATAGATTCGATTGAGATATCTCTTTCCAAGTGGATGCTATTTGCTTGTTAGAATACGATTCATCGATTCATAAGGGGCAAGGGAAAATATGGCACATGTCAAGACTCACGAATCTTGTGAACAGGATTGCCATAAACCTAAGGCTGAGAGCTGCCACTGCCGTAATGGCGTCTAAGACACGAGTGAGAACCATATTGGAGTCTTCGCTCTGGGAGAGTTGTGAATTTGCTAGGTTGACGAGACTCGAGATGAGGTGTGTTCCAAGCCTGTCAGATTCACGAGACCATACACCGAGTTTGAGTCGACAAATCGACCCCAGGCGTTGACAAAGGCGAACGTCCAAGAAAGGGCGCTCAAGATTAGAATTTCTGCCTATTCAATCTACGGACCCGGAACCACGGTCATGGTACTCGAAGTGGATTTGAAGGATGGACACTCTCCCCATCACCACGTCGCGTACTTCCAATTATCAACACACGTGCAATGCCATTGCCGTCACTCATGGCCGGGAACAATCAACGTCGTTATGGACTCTGTCAGGCCGTCATCCCGAGCCAAGTGCATCTTTCCAACCGGAAAATGTTCCTTATCACTTCCCGGATGAGCAGAGTCGCCTTCGGGAGCATACAGGTGGGCCGCGGCGTCGGGACCCCACTCCGATGGACGTCTTAGACGATCGCATTTCACCACGTGGGCGTCCGAGGCCCGTGGGATGACAAGTTTTCTCACCCGAAGGCGGAGATCTACCGGGAGGAAAATATGACGGCCAAGCTCCGAGCACAAACTTCACACACTAATCAAAGCTTGTTCTTACAACGTCAGCAACGTAGTTGGTAATGGATCTAGAAAATATAGCCTGAATAAGGTGAGGCGACTACAACTTATTCCTCCAGTGTGCACCCGGCGGCTCCCGCATCTCGGACATCTTCCGGTTAACTTAGCCTTCGGCCCCGATCTCGACTGCGGTGTTCATGTCGGAGCACGTGGTTGAGACAACGTAATGAATGGTTGAGGCAACTGCTTTCTTCCTTCTTAATGCCAATAGTTAGGCAAAATGCTTTTGTACGAAGGAGAGCTCAGACGAAGGAATGCAATAGCTTGAGTTTTCGAGTGGATGGCTTCTTGACCCATACGCGTCCCAAGAATTTGGTTCGAAACAAGGATTCCACGTGGTAGTCTGCGAGGCACTCAGAATCAGCGTACATCATGCATTCGCGGTACTTATAACCAGGCAAACCGCGCTCGGTGCTTTTGTTGCAGCATACTTCTAAGTCATCGTCGACCACAAAGTCATCCAACATGGAGTCCACGTCAGCCTCGGTATTCGACACGATTGATCATGCAACCAAGAAGGATGTCGGAGTCATGGTATCGTCCGAGAGTGACATTGCGTCATCTCAAGAGCCTACTCCTCCTGCCAGAACCGCTGGGAAGCTCGACGTGCTGGTCCAAGGTGTCGCCTTGTTTTCCGATGGCTACAACATTCAGATCATCGGATACATGAACACCGTTCTGGCTAAGCTGTGAGTCTGCCATATGAGCAACAAATTTCTTGTTGAAGACAACGTTTGACGGACAAATGTCATCAGTTATCCGAAACAGATGACGAATGCCGTTAAGACAAGGCTTTCTAATTCCATTCTGATTGGCGACATCTTTGGCATGCTCATCTTCGGTCTTTGCATTGACAAGTTTGGTCGGCGAGTTGGAATCATTCTGACTACTCTCTTCTTGGTTTTGGTACGTCGACACCTTCGATATGATCGGTCAAAGGAGATTTGTCTTATCGAGAGCTGTTACTGATAGCCAGCTAGGGTATCGTCATTGCTACTGCTGCCCATGGAGCCTCCATTGAGGGAATGTTCTGGATGATGGTAATCGGCCGCGGTGTTGCGGGTGTCGGTGCTGGTAAGCAACTTTAGCTGGCCGTAACGGGAGGTCGAAGACTGACAGCAATGCAGGAGGAGAGTACACAGTCTGCACCTCGCAGGCTCTGGAGTGTGCCGACAGCACAGAGGCCATGCGCAGGAGACGCGGAATGCTCGTCGCAGTTTCCACAAACGCCGCAATCATCTCTGGTTTCGTCGGATCTAGTATCGTCTCTTTGATTGTCATTGCTGCGTATAATGGTCAAGCAAGTGACGGAATTTGGCGCATTTGCTTTGGAATTGGAATTTTCGTCAGTCAACCCAGCTCGACGGGTGCTAACCTTCCATGTAATATGAGAGTAAACTGACCATCTTCTCAGCTTCCTTTGGCGATCTTCTTCTTCCGCCTACGGCTCGTCGATTCACAGCAGTACCAGAAGCACGCCATTCAGCGCAACATTCCGTATCGTCTCGCCATCAAGTTCTACTGGAAACCACTACTTGGATGCTGCAGCGCATGGTTCCTCTACGACGCCGTTGTATACCCCTTCAACCTTCTTGCACCAACTCTTGTCTCCGGCTTCTCCTCCCAGCAGACAATGATCCAGTCAATCGGCTGGTCCGCCCTAATTAATGCATTTGCCCTTCCCGGTGCCTTCATCGGCGCGCTACTGATGGACCGCATTGGTCGCCGTCAGACTTACGCCCTGGGTTGGGCCATCGTCTGCGTCTTCGGATTCGTCATTGGCGGCAGCATGATTCAGCTCAATAACGTATTCCCGCTCTTCGTCACCTTGTACGGCCTCTTCCAGACCTTCTTGTCTGTTGGCCCTGGAGACTGCAACTTTTTGGTCTCGAGCGAGTCCTTCCCTACACCGCTTAGAGGTCACTTCCTCGGATTTGCTGCCGCCGTAGGCAAGGCAGGGGCTGCTATTGGCACGACTGCGTTGAGTGCAGCGCTTGCGAGCTTTGATGAGAAGTTGAAGGGACAGCAGGCGATCTTCCTCATCGGGAGTGGCATTTCGGTCGTGGGTACTCTTTGTGTGTGGTTCCTGATTCCCGACGTAAGTTGCCTTTGGTCTTTAATTTCATCTCTTCTGCTGGATC